GGGTGGGGACTGCACTCCAGCTGAGGTTGGCAGAAACAAACCATATTCAAGCCACCACGAGTATATGCTGTTGCTCTTTGTGAAGACAGGTCTGAACTGCGTTGAGCACGTCCTGTGTGCCTTAGTCCCATCGCTTGCTGCCATCTGTCCTCTGTCCATTCTTGATCCTCACTCTCCTGGTGCTCACACAGCCTGGGAGAAGGAGGAGTGTGTCCACCCGAGGAGGCACACCTGGCAGGGAAGGCAGGAGTGAAGGAGGACCTGCTGTGTTTGTACTGACGGCACCCTTTTCTTTGAAACACATCCCACCAGCCAGGCACCCTGCTGGAGAGATAGATGCTCTCAGGACTGGCGTTATGAGTCTGTCCACTGCTGTTGCCGGGGTAACAAATAGGGAGATTGAGCTTCAGGCAAACCCGCTCTTCATTGCAGAGGGATGGTTCTGACTGAGGTAGTCTGCCCTTACAGTCTTTGCAGTCACTTGCTTCTCAAGAGGCGTTTTATTTCTTCAACAGCCAAGGCCCAGTACTAAAGCCCAGGGCTTTTCAGAAATAGGCAAAATAAAATTGAGGCTTAAAAAAAAAAATTGAGTCCTTACAAGATGTGAAAAGCACAGGTCATAGCTGAATTGAGCAGAAGTTCAGTTTGAAATGAGACGCTGCAGTATATATCATCCTCTGTGGCTATGGCTCCTTACGGCTGTACAACCATCGCTGGTTGGTTCATTTGTTCACGCATTCATACGTTCCCATAAACTTGCTTTTGAGCTCCGAGCTGAGGTTTGTCAGCAGAGAGAAATATTCTTCGCTTTTGTCGCTTCGGGTCCCAAGTTCCCCTCTGGACCGCCTGTTTCCTGGGAAGTCTCATGACGGCTTGTGCTCCAGTCCTGGCTGTGCGCCTTTCAGGGCTCCTGAAGGATGTCACTGCTGGGAGGCCCAAATTCTCACTGGTATTCCCTTGCCAAGTCATTGCATTCCCAAGACCTGGTTTCCACCACTGTAAAGCAATATGGCTGCCCTCTTGTCAGGAGTCCTGAGGGATCACAGACAGCAGCTAGCAAAGCCCTGAGATATTGTGCAAATTTTCTCTAAAAAAGGTGTTTTTCTTTTCTTTTTTAACCAAAGGCCAAGTCTTCACCTTGCTAGACTTGCTTATCTGTTTGCCTGTCTCTGCCTCAGAATCATTCCCACAAACCCCTTTCCTTAGAGCCCCGTGGGAGGCATTTTCCTGGTCCCTCCCTTCTAGCTGGCTGTGAGATTTCCCCAGTGCCCTTGGCCTCAGCTTGGTCGTATTCTACAGGCTTGCCAAGGGAGGATGATGCTCTTCACACAGGCCTAGTGAGTAGCTGTTCTTCTGAATGAAGCTGCTATGTTTATGTCGGTCTCTTTCCAAGTTTGCATACATCAGAGTGTTAGTAACAATAAAGCGAGCGTTCCTAGATTATGGTCAAGGACCATCACAACCTTGAGTTTCACGCCTGACCCTAGGCAAGTTGTCTTGCTGGTCTAGGAATCTTAGTTCCGCTTCTGCCTGGGCTACAGGAATGCCAGGCCAAATTTGTCCCAATTTCACCTGCCAGATCTGGACAAAGAAAGTCCAGCTTGGTTTGCACAGTGTCGTACATTAGTGAATACCAGCAGAAGCAGAGCAAGGGTTCTGTCCTCTTCACTCCCCAGAGGACAGATATTTGCCCAGGATGCTCAGGAGCGATGCTCTGGGAAGGACACTCCCTGGGTGTGTTCCAGGTGTCACGCAGTCTCCCCTCCCCCTCCTGTATCATACTAGCTCACAACTGGCCTATGGCTTCTGCAGGAGATTCACAATCAGAGAAGCTTCCATTCTGCCAATCTTTGGCATGTCTTCCGAAACCCAGACAGCAGAGGAGAGCTGCCCTGGGCTGCCAGGCTCTGACTGTGAGAACTCATCCAGTTCTCTTCAGTGCAGCCCAGTTTCTGGGGAGCCCAGCCCTGAGGTTAGTGTTCTACTTTAGCTGACTCTGTGATGCACGCCCACACTCCCGGCTAGTCGAGAGGCCTTGGCATGAGAATGGACTGGTGTGGGCAACATGGTGAGACCCCACTGCAAAAAAGAAGTAAGATTCTCAACTTATGTTAGGAGAAAGAAGAAGGAACAGCCAGGGAAGAATGGCGCTCAGTTGGTGCTTGCCTGGTGTCAAAGGCCTCAGTCAAATCCCCAGCTTCGGAAACGTGGCTCCATAGTACCTAAACTGTAATCCCAGCACAATGGGGGCGGAGGCAGGAGGTTGGGAGTTCAAGGTAAGATCATTCTCGCCCACATGGGCAATTTAAGGCCAGCCTGGGCTACATGGGATCCTCAAAACAGAAAGGAAAAAATTTAAAATATAGCAATGTCAACAACAAAGTGAAAAACTCCAGGGAACCATGCTATTAGTCAGAATGATGTAAACTTATTTAAGTTGAACCGGACTTCCTTTAGAGCTAAGTAAATAATCTTTAACCCTTATTAGAGATAAGTCCCTAATGACACAGGAAGTCCTAAGTTTTTATGTCTGAGGCTTGCAGTTAGGAACTTGCCAAGTCATTAGATGCTCAGATCACAAATAGTCCCTGATTGCTCCCTCTGCCGCTCCCCCAACCCTAGGACATCTTGAACCCCCTCCTCTGCAGTGGCTTGTGTCCTCTCCAGCCAGACCTGGCTCCTGGATAGTCCCAGAGCTCATTCTGGGCTCCCTCGCTTCTTCTCTTTGTTATCTCTACAGCAACATGACCGTCAGTTTTCAAACGTCCTGCCACTTGCCTGCAAATAGCTCTGTGATGCATTCGTCACCCTGAGACTAGAGGTTCCTGTCCTGCTCTCCTGACACTCTTTGGCTGCTCGGAGCTGGCTCTAGCCCCAGCCATCCAGTGTTGGCCCCCATCTTGCCCTCCCCACAGCCCGTGCTGCCCTCCAGAGCCAGACGGAGCTCTTTTTAAGTGCCGCTGCACACACTGCCGTTCCAGGAAAGCTGTGAGAATAGCGCAAAGAATGCCCACACTCCATTCACCCGAATTCTCCAATTGCTGATCGCTTCCCATGCAGGCTCTGCCCGTCACCCCCTTGGCTCTATGTGTATCTTTTTTTTTTTTTTTTGGATTGTTCGAGACAGGGTTTTTCCGTAGCTTTTGGTTCCTGTCCTGGAACTAGCTCTTGTAGACCAGGCTGGCCTCGAACTCACAGAGATCCGCCTGCCTCTGCCTCCCGAGTGCTGGGATTAAAGGCGTGCACTATGTGTATCTTTTACTATTACTCCATGCACCATTCAGGAACAATTTGCATAAAGTTGCCCTCTCCAAACCAACCCCCAGCCCTCCGGAGATCCAGCATGCATTTTCCCAACAGCAGCATCCTCCGGCATAGTATCAATGCAGCCACCCAATGGGGAGTCCTCACCAATCCTCAGAATCTACTCAGTATCGCTACCACTGTTCATTCCCCCATCAGATCCAGGGTGCAGTCCTATGCTGGGCCCTGTGTGGTACTCACCCACGATCTCTCAGTCTAGGGTCCTGGCTTACCTCTTCCCAGCTTCCCGTGACCTCGAAGAGCATAGTTGTTTCCTGATGGAGAAAGTCCTTCAGTCTGTCTGCACTGTGGGGAGACTAACCGCCCATTTGGAGCAGGGATTCCACAGCAGTGAAGCGGGGCCTTCCCAGTGGTGACAGGCGGCCCTAGTCAATACCTGGCAAGGCTGGAACCTACCCGACATCTCCACCATGAAGCTATCACTTTTCATTTTGTGATCAGTTGGCATTTGGTAGAGGAGCCTTGGAGACCTTGCTACCATTTGTTTCTTTGCACCACCTCCCACCTACCGTCGTATCCTCCCATGTCCCCTGCCTGGCCTGTACTCACATCTTCCATGACGGGCCCTCAGTGGTGGCATCTTTATTTCCACCATTCCTCATACAAATAAGACGCTTTCCTTTCTCCTCGTTCATTCATCTGTTCCTTGTTATCATTTCAGTCCATACGGATGCATGGGTTATTAATTTAACTCGATGGATTGTGATCCAGAACTTTCTGTATTTTCTATCTTTTATTAATTCTTTAACCTTTATTTTTATTCTGTGTGTGTGGGTGTTTCCCCTGCATGTATGTCTGTGCACTGTGTATATGCAGTGCCCTCAGAGGTTTTTGGATCCTAGGAGACTAGAGTTCATTGTGTCATGTGGGTGCTGGGGATCGAACCCCACTTTCCAGGAGGAACAATCGGTGCTCTTAACTGATGAGCCATCTCTCTAGTCCCTTATTTTCCTTTTTGAGGCCCTTTGTCCACACACAGGCACACACAGGCACACGCATACACACACATCTCTTTGCCTTTATCCCTGATTAGTGGATAATCTCCGATTGTGGGAGATTGCCGCCTAACCCCGTTTCTCTTTTTTCTCCAGCCCTATCACATTTAGTACTTGCAGATCCCCTTCTCACAAGAGCCTGGCTTGTCTTACCTTGGATCTTGCTGTTGCTGTTTCTTGACTGTATTCCCTGTGCTGGTGACTTCCTTAGAACCATGGTCTTCCCTATGCCATTGCTACCCTTGCCCTCACTCCTCCACACTACTCTTGTCCACTAGAGGAAGTAAAGGAAAGCCAGTGGTCTTAGAACAAAACAGTAGGGAGAGGGGGAGGGAGTTTTCGTTTTGTTGTATGGTGCTGAGGATGGAACCCGACAGGGAGCTGTGCTCCAGCCTGAGGAACCGTCTTTAATTTGCAAGGCTCTTTGCACACATTGGACCAATGAAGCCCTTTCCATGTTTCAGCTGCTCCTAGAGTGTTCCGAGATCCTTACCAGATCCTTTTGGCCTGAAAGAATCCTGGGTTTCTGTGACAGCTTGTTTGTCGGGTACCCCTTGTTAGGATCTAACAGTGTCCTCCCAAATTCATAGGCTAAGACCTTGTTTTTGTAATTGTTACTATTGCTTTGATGAAACACCATGTCCAAAAGCAACTTGGGAGGAAAAGGTTAATGTGACTTACATATCTGAAGTCATAGTCCTTTGAGGGAAGCCACGACAGGAGCTCAAACCGGGAGGGAACCTGGAGGAAGGAGCTGACGCAGAGGCTGTGGAGTAGTGCTGCTTACTGGCTTGCTCCACGTGTTCTGTGTGTTTGTTTGTTTGTTTTTGTCAACCCAGGACCATCAGCCCAGGGGTGGCCCCAGCTATAAAGGTCTGAGCCCTCCCACATCAATCACTGATTAAGAAAAGCCCTACAGGCTTGCCTACTGTCCTATCCTATGGAGGCATTCCCCCCTCCCCTCCCATTGAGACTCCTTCCTCTCCCTGACTCTAGCTTGGGTCAAGATGACATAAAACTAGCTAGAACCGACTTGAAGGCTCAGGTGAAGATGTTAAGAGATGGGGACTTGGGGATGTGGCTAGGCGTGAGGACGAGCTTTCATGGATGGGATTAGTGTGCTGTGCAGGGAACCAGAGAAAGCTCCCTGTGCCCTTCCACCAGAAGTGGATCTTAGTGAAACAGCACAGGCTGTGAGCCTGGAGGAGGACTCCCAGCAGCCTGCAGACCTGCTGGCTTTGATTATGAAATCCCAGCCTCCAGAATGTCGAGAGATGCAGAGCAGTGGTTTCTAGGCCATCAGTCTTGTGGCATTGCTACATCGCCCTGATGCACTAAGATACCACACCTGAGAAACTATCCCTTGGATGTTGAATTCACCTTACTCTGGATTAGCCTACCAGCTTGCAGTGTATGGCTGCATGCTATTCACTCAGGTGCCCCCAGGATGCTGATGGGGCACGGGCGTACTGTGTGGAGCATGCGGTGTCAGCTGGCCCTTTCGCACTAGCACGTGGACGCATTCCTGTTGGGGCTATTATTGGAATGTTAATTTCAGGTGTGTGACTTTTGTTTATGCCGCATTTGTTTAACTCTGCGAAACTGTGGTTCTTTGCCTGTCTAAAACACCTGGTGGTCCTAATAAAGAGCTGGATGCCCAATAGCCAGACAGGCACGAAGATAGGCGGGACTGGGAGGCAGAGAGAATAAATAGAAGGAGAAATCTGGGAGGAAAAAGAGGAGCCGGAGAACAGAGAGAGGAAGATGTCAGGGGCCAGCCACCCCGTCACCCAGCCAGCCATGGGGAAAGAAGGAAAGAAGCCCAGAGGCAAAAGGCAGTCGAGATAATTTAAGGTAAGAAAAGCTGGCAAGAAACAAGCCAAAATAAGGCCAGGCATTTGTAACTATGAATTAGCCTCCATCTGTGATTTATTTGGAAACTGGGTGGCGGGCCCCCAAAAGAGTAAACTATCTCACAATACCTTCCTCTTGAAGGGAGGGCCCTTGCTGCCTCGGTCTGTCGTAGTGATGCACAGACTTGTGGAAAAGCACTTGTTGGCACAAGCTCCCCACACATGCCAGCCACCACTCAACCTCCGCTGCCTAGGTTTGCAGGGCTGGGGCCTGGCAGCTGGTGGTTGAAATCTCTAACCAAAATTTGCCCCCTGAAAAATGTTTCAGTCATTCTAGATTCAGTGTTATCCACTAGCAGAATTTATAAAGCTTTTATAGTTTCAGTCAGTAAATCTATGAAGAAATGTGGGGCTTTTTTTAAAAAATAGTTTTTGAAACAGAATCTCATTATGTAGCCCCGACTCTCCTGGAACTCACTGTATAGTCCAGGTTAGCCTTGAACTCACAAAGACCTGCTGAAGAAATTCTTATAGTTTTACTTTTATGTGTATGAGTAGTCTGCATGCATGTGTGTGTGCCACATTTGTGCCTGGTGCCCATAGAGGTCAGAAGAGGGTATTGAATCCCCCAGAATTGGAGTTACAGATGGTTGCAAGCCACTAGGCAGGTACTAGGAACCAAACCCAGGTCCTCTGCAAGAGCAGCCGGTGTGCTGAACCACTGAGCCACCTCTTCAGCCCCTGAAGAAATATTTTATAAGAAGTTCTAACTGTCCAGAAATCAGGAAGATCTCCGAGTTGGTGGTACAGTGTGGATTTGGTATAGATACACCTCTATGTAAGCACAGATATTTAGCAATTAGTTCAGCTTACTCGAGATGCACATTCATGTGTATTTCAAATCATAATTTTGTTTTTTATACAAGAGGTTGCCAGACCATTACTGGAAGCTTATTAATGCTCCAGCCTGTAGCCTGTCGACGCAGAGAGCTATGTAAGCAGCAGGAGGAGGGAGGTAAGTTAGTAAGCAGAGTAAGGGGCTTGACTGGAGCAAGGAACCCCGCAGTTACGGTGCAGCCCAGGCCTTCACTCGTACATATGGAAAAGCTAAAGTCCCAAGCAGTCACCTGGCAGACATCCCAAGGTGGGGCTGCTCTGGAAGCCAGACCTCCTGACATCATCGACAGTTTTAGAATGTAATAGCATGCTTGCGCACTAATGTCATAACTGATCAGGATATTAGTCAAACTGTCACCCAGAAACTATTTCTGTTCAGAAAACTTAGGGAAGTGTCAGTGGTCTTTGAAAAGTGCCATTCCATGCTCTGGGCAGGTGGATGTATATGCTTTTTGGAAACTTCTCTCTTGTGCCTTCATTTTCTCGGGTGATGCCTAATGAATGAGGGTGGGTGCGTTTCTGCCTCAGAATGAGGTGGGCAAGTCTTTAAGGGGATGGCTAGAGCTCGGAAGTGGTGTTGCTCTGATGGTACCCGTGTCACAAAGCAGTCACTAGGACAGGGAGCCAAGTTGTTCCCTGACACCTAAAATCTCTCTTAAGTACATTTTCTTGTTTATGTTGACTATACTCGTGGTATTCATTCAGCATAGAACCAGAAAACAGGGCTCATGGGATGGCTCAGCCACAAAATGGTATCAGCTGCCAAGCCCGGGGACCCAAGTTCAATCCCCGAGACCCATATTGGAAGATGTGTTCTTACCACCATATGCACATACATACATACGTGCACATGTGAGCACACGCACACACAATAAATTAGAATATAATTGAATTTTCTTTTAAAGAATTAGAAAATAGATACCAAATCTATGAAGAAAAAATGCTTAACTTAAGCCAAAGAATTATGCTGTTAACACATTGGCGTAGGTTTTACCTTGCTTGCTGGTCCATTTGTACTGTTGCTGTTTGCTTCATTTGCTGCGCACAGCCACATGAGGCTCGATTATGTGGCCCATAGTTAGTTTACTTTTCCAGTTTTCAATTAATCATGAAAATATATTCACCTAGATGCCCCAAGCTCTACCAATATTCTTAAACTGTTGCAAATCTGTTGTGTGGCTGTGCCTTAATCTGATGAACTGCTCACCACCGTTGGACATTTTGGTCACCTTCGGTTGCTTTTGCTAATGTGACCACCGCCTCCTTACTCCCAGCCGTCGTCATCTCCTAAAACAGTGTCTTGGAAAGCCCATGGTGTGCTGAAGGAAGCTGAATCTTTTATGATGTGCCGCCGAAACTCCGGGGCTGTTTTTCTCCTCTGACTTTGTGATACTTAGAAAGTTGATCATGTCCATAATTTCAGAGTCTCCAAATTGTAATCCACCAAAGACCTATCCTGGCCATTCCTCCCCCTCCCAGTTTTCTTGTATGAACTTCCTGGCCCCTATGTGTAGCCATGGGGCTCTAGCAGCTGCCCCAGAGGAATTGGAATTGTGGGTAGGACCCACAGGGAATAGTAATTCATGGGCAATACATTTCGACCTGCCCACTGGTATTTAGAATGTAGTGTAGGAAGTTTCCTGGGCCCCACCCACTCTCACCCATACACATGCCAGGGGCCCTGATTGGTGCCTGACCATTTAGAAGCTTCAGGTCAATCCTTTGGCTTGTGACCAAGTCCTAGTTTCTCCACCTGATATTGTGACCTACCTCCTGTCCCTTTCTCCCCTCCATAGCCCCCACTTTGTCTATGCTCTAATTACAATGACCTTTTCCTGTTCTGCAGAATGTCAAATTCCTTCCTAATCATGGTTTTCAAAGCTAGGAATGGCCTTGCACTTGGGGGCTGCTTACCTTTCTCTTACTCCACCATCTTGGGGGCTCAGCCAGGTGTGGTGATGGAGAAGGTGGCTGCTGAGGTCAGGCTTGAGTTACTCAACCTGCCTGTGCCTTTATTTCTAAGTGGTAATAAAAACAACACCCCAAAGGGGCTGCTTGACTACTGTGTGTGGAATCTGTAAATTCTAACCTTCTACAGGTTTCTGTACTTGCTTGTGCTTAGCCATGGATAGAGCACTCTTCCTGGACCAGCAAATCTTTGGACTATCTATATGAAGCTCAGATATCTCCTTCCTGTTATAGAGAGGGAGTGTGAGCCCTGCCTGGGGCCAGATGTTAAAATACATCTGCATCTCCTGGGAACTTCCTGAGTTTCTTGATTCTTTTTTTTTCCCCCCTCCATAGCGCCCCTGGAACCAATGATGTCATCCAGCCAGCTGCTCCTGCAGACCTGGGACACCCACCCTTAGCTGACTCTTCCCATCATGGTGACAATGCCAGCTCAGTCTCTACACATCTGACAGTCCAGAGGTACAGTAGAAACATGGCTGGGACTGCCTGAGCCAAGGTCCCGTGAGTTCTCCCTCCATCTCTTCCCTCATCCCCCCACTTGTTTCTCACAGTGTCTGTCTACCTGTTCAAAGCACAGTAGGCTGCGGCAGGGCTTAGTTTCTTCTGGCCTCAGTTATACTCTGAAAGGACACTGGAAGCCCTCCAGAGAGTGTATTGCTGTTTCAGGGCCTGGTTTAGGGAGCTGGCTACCTGCTGGCTGCTGGGACATCAGCTTGTCCAGCTGCTTGTTTTCCTCTGTCTTTGGGTGATGATCAAAGAACAGAGGAGTCAACAGGGCGTGGGAAGAGGAGCCAGGTTCTTGGGCCTTTGCCCGGCATAGAGACCTGGACTCTCGGCTCTGTCTTCTGTCCTGTTGCCTCCTACAGTCCTTCCATCTTCCTTGCCCTTCACACCCCAGTTCTTTGCTACCTCCTACTTGGCATGGATTCAGCTTCACCTCCCCTTTTCCTGCAGCCTTTGCATTTAGACAAGACTTGGTTTGCAGCGGCCTTGAGACTGGGCTAACACACGCGCGCACATACACACACACACACACATACACACACACACACCCATGTCTATATATAATTACACAGTGCACATTCACATCAACACTTGGGATTAGTTACTTTTCTTGTTGCCATGACAAATGCCCAACAAAGCAACTTGCGGGGCAGAGGATTTCTTTTGGCTCACAGTTGGAGGGTCCATCCATTACGGCACAGAAGGCACAGTCACAGGACTGTACAGGAGCTGGCTACTTAGTGCCCATAGTCAGGAAGGAGACAGGGATGAACTCCAGCACTCTGCCGCTTCCTCTAATGGCACAGGACCACCCAGTTAGGGTCGGCCTTCCTTTCTCAGTTAACCCATCTAGAAAGTTCCTCCTAGATCTGTCCAGAGACTTGTCTCCTCCATGGTTCTAGATTCTGTCAAGTGGACAATATTAACTGACATAGTCTCTGGCTGTCCACATCTTGGTTTATATCCATAGTCTCCATCTGTACACATTTTTGATATGGGATTCCTCTCTGTGTGCTGTGAATATGTTTTATTACCATTGGTTAATAAAGAAGCTGCTTCAGCCTATAGCAAGACAGAATAAAGCCAGGCAGGAAATTCAAACAGATATATATAGAGAAAGAGTAGGTGGAGTAAAAAAGATGCCATGTAGCTGTTGAAGGAGACAGATGCCAGAACCTTACCAGTAGGCACAGCCTCATGGTGACACATAGATTAATAGAAATAGGTTAATTTAAGATATAAGAGCCAGCTAGGAATATGCCTAAGCTATTGGCCAAACAGTGTTGTAATTAAGCTATTGGCCAAACAGTGTTGTAATTAATATAGTTTTCTCTGTGTGATTATTCGGGTCGGGGCAGTCAAGAAGCAAACGTGAAGTCTCTGTGTACACATTTGAAGTGACACTTACGTCAGAAAAGCCACTGGGTTTTGCCAGATCCTGCGTAGCATTGGAGTAGCCTGGGTGAGCAGGACAGAAAAGGGACTTTGCATCCTGGAGCATGTGCCTCAGGTCTCTTTCTCCTTTAAACTCAGCTGCCACTGTCCCTGTGTCACTGCCCTCACTAGAGGCCTGTAAGTTCCCTGCATCTAAGTCTGTCTCCCCCACTAGTCTGGGGTTCTTCCAAGGGAAGAACTGGTCTTCATGACTCTTGGAACTGCAGCGCCTGATCTGGAATGGAGGAGGGGTGTACTGGGACTCGATCATAGATTAGAGCAGAGGACAGGGATGCTCCTGTGTCATGTTTGCACTGACCCTTCCCTGGCTACTTCTCTCAGGTTACTGGTGATGGGCAGGCAGCTGGCAGTAGTAGAGAAGTCCTCTCATGGGGGAGTCTGCCTGGTGTAGGTAAAACAGGAGCAGAGGGAGATGACAGGAAACCATAGCCCAGAACCAGAGATGCCCTGGCAGGTGAGCACTGGCCAGGGATTTCAATGTTCCCCTCTTCGTGGGAATCAGCTGCGATTCTTACTTACATATAATTTAGCTCAAGTGGTGTATGAAAGGTGCCTGTGAGTAACAGGTCACCTTCTCCTTTCCCCTCCTCCACTTCCTTGTCTCAGTGATGCTCCAACTTTCTGACCCCCAGAGTTTTAGGAAGACCCAGCATCCTCTAGCCATGAGTGGAATTACCTCCCTTGAGAAGCTAGGAAAGGGATTTTCCTGACTCTATTGGTGTTTCTGTCTTACAGTTGGGACAAGGGGGGGGGGTATGGGACCACTGAGGTCTGAAGGTGAACAAGGTCATGGCTAGATGGCATACAGGAGAACTGAAGTCCAGCTGGGGGTATGGTCTGCCCTTCTGAGGTCCCCTCTCTCTACCTTGGGACCATCCTTTTGAACACTTGTCCTGGGACACAGTAGGATGACCGTGTGCACCATCTTGAGTGGATCTGTGGACCCTCACAGGGCCGATGGATGATGGAGTACTCTTCTGGCTGCATCTAACAGATGCACTGACTCGGGCCATACAGCAGCCATGTTGAGGTAGGTGCATTGGGCTGCTCAGCCACCTCCTAACCTCATTCCTGGCAGATGTCACCTACACCATTACCCAGGAGTGACCACCGGATGCAGGATGAGAAGGGAGGCCAGCATAGATGCTCTTAGTACTGAGGACTAGGCCAGCTTCCCGACTTTGCCTCCCAGAGGAAGGACAGCTAAGAATGAGGCAGGAGCCAAAATCAGGGAAGCATTCAGCTAAAGAGAAGCCAGCGGGAGCCGGAACATTTGTGCAGGAGGATGTCACTAGGTTGGTGGGAATGAGTCAGTCCCTTTTGGAACTGCCATTGGTTGGTTTCACTTTGTTCACCCAAGGTGATTAAAATTGTATTATCATAAAATACAACCAAATCTCATTATTCAGTCCCCATATTTGTGAATTTGATTCTTCTTCAAGACTTGCTGATAACCCCAGAGTCAATTTTCATGGTTCCCCCTCAGTCCTTTGCAGATGTATTCAGAGCAGTGAAAACATGGCAATCGCTCAACATGAGCGTTCTCAGCTGGAAGATGCAATGACCTTATGCTTTCTTGACATTTCGTCTCTCGTGCTATGAACATGGGACCTTTTCATGGTGCACTGGGAACCTTTGGTGCTTTTGTTGGTGATCTTGCTGTTGGGAATAACCCCTATGTACAACATTGAAGTTCAGAGGAGCCTGAATGTGCCCAGTGAAGAAAATATGGGGGTCACTGAAACTTTGCTCTGTCTGGCAGGAGTTAATGCCATTGTGTGAGGATGGTGCTAGTAAATCAAGAGTGTGACCTAAGATGCTTTTAAATAGGAATACACACACACTGAAGGTTGCATTTTGATAGACTGACTGATCAAAGTCTTCCCAGGGGCTCTCGGGAACCTAGAGCATATCCCCCACTTCACCCAAGTGGTTTGGTGTTGGCTGACTCATATCTGTGAATTTCATAGACCATTGCTGTGAATGGCAAGCAGCAAATGGACTCACCCCTGCCCACCTGTTGGAGTGACTAAGAAGCATATCCTGGAGGGTGCGGTAGTGACTTTAACCTCAAAAGTGACTGTCTTCCCCTTCCCGCTTAGAGTAGGAAGGAGATAAAGGAAGATGTGGGATGGGGGCATGGCTTGCCTTCCTGCAGAAACAAGGCTTGCTGTTTGTTTAATTTGTGTGACAATATTTGTGGAGAGATGCAAGCAAACTTTTCTGTCCTCAGCTAGAGTACCAGTGACAGACCAAAGTAAGGATACAACCAGAGTCCAAACTGGTGAATCACTGAGTTTTCCTGGGGTAACTTTCAGGAGTATGGGTGAAGGGCTACAGGATCAGAAATGACTCGAAGACAGCGGTGTCACCAAAGCCCACCCCAGTGTGGGTTTGACAGCTCATGAAAGCTGGGACCCTGGAGTACACTGCACAGCCTGCAGGCTGCTCAGCAGGTTGGAGACCGTCTCTTCTGAGCATCTTTCAGCCGTCCTTACTGCTGTGGGTACTAGAGGACTGAGGAGCCTAGTGATTCTGGCCAGTTTCAGGGGCTTCTGAAGCTTTTGAGTAGTTTACTTCCTGAGTTTTAAGGTGCTTCCCTGCGGGATGGAATGTCTCATCTTCCTTTAGAACGACAGTGTTCTCAACCTGTGGGTTGTGATCCCATTGGGAGTTAAATGACCCTTCCTTAGGGGTCACATATCAGATATCCTGCATATGAAATGTTTATATTACTATTTATAACTGTAGAGAAATTATAAAGACCAACAAAAATAACTTTACAGTTGGGATCACAAAATGAGGAACTGTGTTAAAGGGTCACAGAGTTAGGAAGGGTGAGAACTACGGCTCTAGAACATCCCAGTCACAATTGTTTTATCTTTGAGGAGATTGCTAAACAATGAAATTTAAAATAAAAAACTTTTTAAAAAGTGTATTTTTTTTGGGGGGGGACAAGATCTCACTATATAGCCCTGGCTATCCTGGAACTATTGATTTAGACCAGGTTGTCCTTAAGCGCAGAGATCTAACTGTCTCTGCCTCCTGAATGCTGGGATTAAAGCTGTGCACCACCATGCTCAGCTGAAAAAAAGTTCTTTTAACTCACAAGTAGTTTTTTAGATTTTTAATTTTAAAAAATTATTTGTGTGTATCCATGTGTGTGCCACATGTGTGCAGGTTCCCATGGAGACCTGAAGAAAGTTTGTATCCCCTAGAGCTGGGCTTTTAAAGGAAGTTGTCAGCCACCTGATATGGATGCTGGGAACTAAACTCAAGTCCTTTGCAAAAGCAGCAAGCACTCTTAGCTGTCAGTCACCTCTCCAATTCAAGTCAAATTTTAAAAATGTCTTTATAAAGGTATTTAAAGGACCAGCAAGATGGCTCAGTAAATAAAGGTGCTTGCTGCCAAGCCTGATGACCTTTCAATCCCTAGAACTCCTACAAATTGTCCTTAGACTTCCACACTCATGCCATGCCATATGTGTGTATCTGCTTGC